CTCTTTCCCGTACCAGGTGGCCCATAGAGCAAATAGCCGCGTCTGTAGGGAATTCCCCGATCATGGTACCACTTTGCACTAGAAACAAAGTCCTTTACGTCCTCCACAATTCGCTCCTTGACACCTTCGTCAAGGATCACCGAGTCCAATGGGCGCTTTCTCCGCGGTTGTCCGAATAGTCTCCATTCCGTGCCCCAACTGTTGTAGATAGACGTCTTGCCTTCATGTGACTTGGCGGCATACGCATGGGCCTCTTTGAACAGATCCTCAAAGATGTGCCGATGTGAATAGAGTGTCGTCAATGTGATCGTTTCCCATGGCCGTCCCGTCTGTAAATCCTGCGACTTGGACTCCCGCATCCGATTGACGAAGATGAACGCATTCTTGTAACGTAAAACATGCCTTCCCGGTCCAGGGACCAGTGCAAAGTGCGTATGTATAGCACCATTTGCATGTTCAACCTTTTGCGTCTGTATCGAGAGGTGGCGCATTCCCGGTGTCAGTTTCTGGAGGATAGTTTCCATGAAGCCAGACCTGCTGGCTGCGGAGCGAGCGGCGTTGAGTTGGGATTGTTGATAGAGGGTCATCCAGTGGAGGAACCACGGATAAGAATCGTCCTTGATGCTGATTTCGACATCCACAAGCATACGACGCCGAAGGAGGGCGGCACCATGTCGAACGCCTTTCTGAAATAAGCTCAAGCCTGCTCCAAGCCCAGCGAGACCGAAACCCTGTACGCACGGCCTTCTCGTCAGTTTCTCAAATTCCCGTTTATCGCACTCACAGTTCCAAGGCTGTCGATCTTACCGCTGTGAAGAAAGGGTTACTGGAGAGCTGAGAAAAAAGGCCGCCATCGCCGGGTTGCTGAACCGCCGCCTGGATCGCATCTTTCCTCTGTTGCAGAATCAGGTCACCAGGCGAGGACAGCCCGGCAGTATCCGGAGCTCCATTTTTCTCCATCCCAGTCTATGGAGATGAGCGTGATAATCGCGAACCGGATGCTTTTTTGTGGCGGCGCATCTCAAAAAAGGTGCATGGCGTTGATATCGGAGCTACGACGGGCCGAGATAAACCCGTTTCCCCGGGTTTGTCTTGTTCGGTTTGGAGACAACTTACCTGCGAAGACCTATCTATGGATACTCTTGTTTGGCTCTTTACTTTTTGATCGAGATCTGGATAGCATTACCCCAGACATGCCTACGCGCCTTCGTCAAGGGAAAGATGATACTGCTCTGCCGTCAGACGTGACTTATTCACATGCACTTAGTCCTTTGAGAATGATGAGCTCCGCAAGCCTCGCCAAGAAGCGAGTTGGCTCGGAGATAGCGGGATTAGTGGCTTCGGGTTGATGGTAGTGAAGTCGCCGCCTGAAGCTGACAGCACAGCCTCGGTGCTAAAGGCCCAAAGCTGGATTCTTTTCTGATTCGTTTGTTGTCCCTGTGACCATCTGTTCTGCTGAGCTGTTTCTCAGGTTCGGTTGGATAGATAAAGAGAAATAGAGTGCCCAGCATTGCGAGTAGGCTTGCTAGCAAATGCGTTCATTTCTGCGGCGTTTATTTGGCTTTCGCCAGCATCAAGGTCACAATTTCTCAACGCACTCAATGAAGCGGAATATGAGTTCATCCACCGCGGCAATTCTCTACGCTATCACTATCACTACGCCTCCCGCTTCACCTTTGCCAGATGATGCGCAGAAAAAGAGCCATCACCTTCAAGGCGGATTCACGAACCCATGGGAGTAAGACTAGTTGCCCAAAAACACGCTGTAAGCGGCATTGCAGTACTGACCAACCTGCTCAGTTCATGGAGACCGATCAAAGCTACGATCGCCTTTGATATCCTTTCGTGAGTGGTCTCAAAACAACTCAATTACGACCAGATCTGACCATATCTTCCCGCACGTAAAGTCGCCAGATAAATGGGAAAGCCAACAAGCCTGACACTACGCCTCCAACTGTTCCTGTCCGTAAACCAGAATTTCTGCCCAGCAGGGAGACGTCCAATCTGAGGGCGACATGGCTGGGCCATGCCTGCTACTATGTCGAGTTTCCTGACGGTCTGCGAGTGTTATTTGATCCTGTCTTTGAGGACCGTTGCTCGCCTTTCTCCTGGCTCGGACCGAAACGATACACGGAGGTGCCTTGCCAGATCAAAGACATCCCTTTCATCGACGCAGTTGTCATTTCCCATAACCATTACGACCATCTGTCGCACCCAACAGTGAAAGAGATCGCCAAACTGCATCCAAATTGCCATTTCTTTGCGCCCCTGGGTAACAAAGAGTGGTTTTCCAGTTCTGGAATTCAGAATATGACTGAGATGGACTGGTGGGAAGAGCGGGATGTCGCCCTTTCGCCTTCAAAGCCAGACGCCAAGGTTGAGGAAGCAACGGGCGATCTCGCCTCAAAGCCTGCGGATATCAAAGCGCGTATCGGCTGCCTACCATGCCAGCATAACAGTGCCCGAGGACTCCGTGACCGACAGAAGACATTGTGGTCGTCATGGTACGTCGAATCTGGAGGTCGCAAGGTTTACTTCGCTGGGTATGTCAAGGGTCCCTAGTACACCTCTTCCTCTAATTCAAGCTAACTCTGGATATCGTGCTCAGAGATACTGGATACCGTGCGGTACCTGAACTCCCGGATGGCGTGGACGATCACGCCCCCGAGTATAATTACCCTTCGTGTCCCGCATTCAAGCAGGTCGGGGAATTCAAAGGACCTTTTGACCTCGGTTTGATCCCCATCGGAGCGTACGCGCCACGTTTTATCATGAGTCCGATGCATGCAGACCCTCATGATGCTGTGGAAATATTCAGAGATACAAAGTGTAAACGAGCAACCGCCATGCATTGGGGCACATGGGTGCTTACTGAGGAGGACGTCCTGGAACCTCCGAAGAAATTGAGAGAGGCATTGAAGAAGCATTCAATTCCTGAGAAGGGAGTCTTCGATGTCTGTGACATTGGCGAAAGCAGAGAGTATTGATCAACGTACAGGAACCATCTTTGGACATATAGCCTTTACTCAATTAGTAGACTGACGCATGATGTAATTTAGAGTCTTGTGGATATCATACTGAACATTATCAGACATTGTCATATAATTTATGTATTTAGTCATGTGAGATTGGGTGGTTGAAGATAGATACCTGATTCTTAGAAACTTCCTGTATCCTGCACGATGGTCAATGTTGCCGCAGGGAGTAGCGGTGTCGTCGAATCTGACCTAGATATGCAATTACCGCTAAATACTACTTGAACTATGCATTCACAAATGCAAGTCAAGAAAAGCTATATCAATGTTAGCTTATAGACATTCAATTGTTCTCTAAACAGAAAAATATCATTGTTGAGGTCTACAATATGATATTAAGATGAATGAATCTATAACCTAACCTATTTCTACTTGATGTACTGTGATTGATCTCGTCTTATTCAATGGTCAGCTGCGTGGAACACAAAGATAATAGTGAATAGAAAGGTATATTGATGCTTATACGGAATGATATCTTCACTGTGTCTGATACCTGAGGACATTCCTAGGGACTATAAAATACCCCAGCATACAGCTTCATCTGGGATCACCTAACAGCTCAAACATTCGCAGCATACTCTGCGTCGCCCCAAATCATCTTTCTCAGTCATAAGGCATATCTATACCTCTTTTTCATCATGCCAATTTACATCCCTCTGGCTCCTCCCAGCCTCCATAGAGAGTTCAACTACAACTACAACTACAACTACGGCTACAACACAATGCAGTGGCAGAGCTACGGGCAGACACCACGAGTCGCTGGTTACGACACCCAAGACGAGGAAGAAGTTGTTTATGATCTTGACGAACACGCCATGGCCTGCCTACCACATCACCTGCAGCAGATAATGCGAGAGCTTCACATGGAGCGCCTGGAACGACTGCAACGCGAGAACCCTCACTTCAAATTCCGCAGCCCAGTCGCATATAATCGCAACCGACATGCTTCTGCGTGGCTCGACAGCGTGGTTTCGCAATTCGTGGAGAGGCGGTCAACGCACAGAGCAGGACATCACCAATTCGGAGAGACACCAGATGTACTTCCTCAACAGATGGGCTGCGGTGAAAACCAAGGACAAGCTACGGCAGAAGTTCAACCTACACTCCGCGATACAGTCCACCAGGCACAATCCGCGTCCATAATCCCGGAATCAGACCTCACCTGCCATCAGGAGGAGATGATTGCAGATGCAGGTGTCGAAAAGGAGCGCAACTCATCTCCCATCCAGGAGTACTTCGCGGAGCGGGATGATAAGAGTCGGTCTCACATCAGATATGCAACTTGGTACGGAGGCCAACCCTTTGAAGAAAGGTCTGGTCGTCCCGAGTTTCGCAGGAGACGATCATCAATCATCTTGGAAATGCGAAGCCGGCTTCAGAAGAAGATTGGGAGGATGAGCCGATTTTTTAAGAGATGTTCCGTTGCCTGATCAAACATTCAGTATCCACGACTGTGCTAAGCTACCTTCTTGCGTCCTGCTCACTATTGGGACATGGCGATAATAATGATCCGCAGTGTTGTTGATATCAGACTTGACCGAAACTTGGTGCTTGGGTCGTATTTGGCGGGGCGTTGGTAATCATGTTAGAGGATATTTACTATGTCTTCCGGAAATCTTACAGGTTTGGAGTATCATAGATTTTAATCGGCGTTGCTTTAGAGATGTCAAGTCGAAAATGATTCAGTCTCTGTTTATCTAATTTTCTACACGATTTGCCTGGTAGCTCAGGGGAAACTGCTGACGAGCTAAGCCCAAAGTAGATTAGGGGGCGGTGAGCTTCAATCCCACTTCGCGGTGCGCTGGAAATTTGATGGTGGTGCGGGCACAACTCCACGTCTTCAAGCTCAGCAGGCCCATCGTTCGGCTGCTTCTAGAATCGTGTTTGGGACAGTGATAATTGTCACTCTATCGAAATTCATTCCTTGAGCCGTCTCGTCCGAAGTAACCCGACAACACCGCTAATATGCAGGCCCCAGTGGTGGTGATGAGTATGTTATTCAAGCCCATATGCCTTACGCTCCTTTCAGACCACTAAGCGTGCATTTCAGACACCAATGCTGGTGATAGGCAGGTCGGCCGTAAGGCACAGCTTTCGAATATTACCGCTGCGAAGACGTACGTGTGACACTCGACCCGATATACCCACTCCGATGCTAATAAGGACCGTGTGTAGCGTTGCGGACATTATCCGGTCATGTCTTGGACCCAAGGCCATGTTGAAGATGCTGCTGGATCCCATGGGGGGTATCGTTCTGACGAACGATGGACATGCTATTTTGAGAGAAATCGAGGTGTCGCACCCCGCAGCAAAGAGCATGATCGAGCTCAGTCGCACTCAGGACGAGGAAGTCGGAGACGGAACGACAACCGTCATCATCTTAGGTATTCTTTACTGTCGGTCGTTCACTTGAAAATGTGTCTAACATTCTTCAGCTGGTGAAATGCTTGCCCAGGCCCTTCCTCAACTCGAACGCAACATCCACCCCGTGGTTATCATTCAGGCTTTTAAGCGTGCTCTTGCCGACGCACTTGCCATCGTGGAGGAAGTCTCGCTACCCGTGGATATTGACGATGATAAGGCGATGTACACGCTGATCCAGTCGTCCATTGGGACCAAGTTCGTTTCCCGCTGGTCGGAACTGATGTGCAACCTCGCGTTGAAGGCAGTTCGGACTGTCTCGTTCGATGCTGGTGGTGGAAAGAGGGAAGTCGACATCAAGCGCTATGCTCGTATTGAGAAGATTCCTGGTGGACAGATCGAAGACAGCGAAGTTATTGACGGTGTGATGATCAACAAGGACATTACTCACCCTAAGATGCGGAGAAGGATAGAGAATCCTCGAATCATCCTGCTCGATTGCCCACTTGAATACAAGAAGGGCGAGTCTCAGACAAACATTGAGATCAGCAAGGAGGATGACTGGAACCGTATTCTTCAGATTGAGGAGGAACAAGTGAAGCACATGTGTGATGCTATCCTGGCCCTGAAGCCCGATGTTGTTTTCACCGAGAAGGGCGTCTCAGGTAAGGCTTTTGTAACTACTCTACTACGACCGATGACCAGACTGACTGACAATTCTGCTCAGATCTTGCCCAGCACTACTTGGTGAAGGCGAATGTAACAGCGATTCGCCGTGTAAGAAAGACGGACAACAACCGTATTGCGAGAGCCACTGGTGCCACAATTGTCAACCGTGTCGATGACCTGCAGGAGTCCGACGTGGGAACGAGATGCGGGCTTTTCGAGATCGAAAAGATTGGTGACGAATACTTTACATTCCTTCGGAAATGCCAGGACCCCAAGGCCTGCACGGTTTTGCTGCGTGGTCCCTCCAAGGACATCTTGAACGAGATCGAACGAAACCTGCAGGATGCTATGTCCGTTGCCAGAAATGTCATCTTCCACCCACGGCTGTGCCCTGGTGGTGGTGCGATCGAGATGGCGGTGTCAGTCAGATTGAGTCAGCTCGCAAAGTCCATTGAAGGTGTTCAACAATGGCCCTACAAGGCTGTGGCGGACGCTATGGAGGTTATTCCCCGGACATTAGCACAGAACGCCGGTGCCAGCCCCATCCGTGTCCTCACACGCCTGAGAGCTAAGCATGTCGAGGGTCAGCACACCTGGGGTCTGGATGGTGACTCGGGTAACCTCGTCGATATGAAGGAGTATGGCGTCTGGGAACCGGAAGCGGTCAAACTCCAGAGCATCAAGACTGCAGTTGAGGTACGCCCTAGAAAACCCCCCTATTGAAAGTGTATCGAGCTAACGTTCCATAGTCGGCCTGCCTTCTGCTCCGCGTTGACGACATCTGCAGTGGTAAGTCTGCACAGCAGGCAGGTGGTGCTCACATGCCCGGTGGAGATGATTAGGAGGCCCAAGTCTTCGAATAAAAATGCGTACATAATGCTACACGATTTAAATCCGAAACTGTACGAATATCCTTCTAGACTAAAATTACATGGGTATCTTCATAGTGCACACCTGGTAGGGATCGTTTCTCGGCGAATGTCGTTCCAATCCAGCTAGCAGCCTCGTAGACTCAATCCTCGTGAATAATCACTCCTGGTGTTTCAGTAGAGTGATCAGCCCATTCCACGGCCAACGCTTGATCCTCCTCGTCTCCTTGGCCATGCTCTGTGCGCCTTAGTGCCTGTTCAACTGCCATCTTATTAGGCCCTTTATTGGAGACCGCAGCATTCTGGTCTTTGTTATTGTTATTGTTGTCGTTGCTCTTCTTCTTCGTCGCATTCCTCTTCTCTCTTCTCCTCCGATTCTTCTCAGTTTTCTCCTCGTCCTTCCGCCTCGCCTCTTCTCTCTTTTGTTCCCAAGCCTTATCCTCCTGCTCTTTTTCGACCTCACTCTGCATCAAGCGCAGACGCTCGTATTCTCTCCTGCGACTCGCCTTGTAGACGTGGAATTCGCCAGAGCCCGCACCAGCCGAAGAACCCTGCACATTCGCAACAATCTCTGGAGGGGGAGCAAGTGATGCTGCGGATCGTTGTTTCGACGGCTCGGGAATTTTTATTTCTTTGTTTGGGTCGCGGAAGAGATGCTCGATTTGCGATGCTTGCTCGCTGAGCGGGGTGACTGCGCGACGTTTGACAGGTCTCTTGCTACGCGGATCTGCGCTTGTAGGGATAGACTCTGGGCCTGGCTCCGACATATTTGGACGTAAAATCGATAACAATTCAAGCAAGGGTGTGGGTTTGGTGGTGATGAGCTGGAGAGAGGTCGTCGCGCAGACTAGTCCGGTTGATTTCTGACGTAAGGTGCAGGTACTGGAACTTTTGCGCGAAAGATGACGTTAAGGTTCTCGAAGTAAACTCAATTGTCCGCAGACACAGTGAATATCTTTGTACGCTAAGGCGATCGAGACCAGATGGTTGTTGAGCAGAAGATGGAGTCCTCAATCAACTTTCGGATAAATTCTGAGCGGTGAGATAAATGCCTCTTTGACGTCTGCTTATCAGCCGTCAGCTCCTCTGTACCTCTACTTCGTCGATTGCGCCAAGTTTCAGATGCCCCTCTCTAGACTTGGTGGGTAGCTGTAGAATATGGATCTGCTGGAGATGACTAAATGGTGAAATGTTCCTGTCCAAACAATTTGATGTGGCCGTCAACGGCCAGAACACACCCTCTGTGGTAAAAGATCCTAGTAATCAGAAAGTAGATGTACGGAGAGACGTGAGGCCAACTAGCGCATGTGATAGCCTCAGGTATCTATTGTTGTCTGATTGTTTCCCCCATCTCAAAGAACACTGTTTCTTCTGTTTAGTCTGTACACCTTCACCAACTATTCGTACTGCTTTCTGTTTTGACCGTTATTGATTCTTTTGAGGTCGTCCGGTTTTTTGCACCCTATGCAGCTCTTATTGTTAGCTTAGACATTGATATTCGCTGATTCCCCCGCACATTGAGTCCCTCCTTATCTTCATGATCTCTCACTCTCATTACAATGTCATCTAGGTCAGCGTCTACTGAAGCTCCCAGTCCGGGCAATAGGAGGGTCAGCACTACTGTCAGCGTCATATTTCCTGTTAGAGGACTTCCTGAACTCACAAAGGCCTACTAGCTCGACCTTAGCGACCTATGTCGTCTCAAGTCAAAGCCCTCTCTGTTGGGTATCGTTAATGTGAGTGACATCAAGGTGGAGCTGTAGAATGTCCAGCAAACTAATGCGGCCATGAGTAGAGAACTCACCACGATGTATTTCACACCATTTTACCTTATTTCTTCAGGTGTTGTTGGCTGACAAGGGGTTTCCCTTCGCAGATTGATAGCCACCAGCCTCTAGATGATGTTCTGATAGTCTCGTACTCTTCAGTGCCTGAAAAAGTCTTGCTTGAGTTTCTAGAGACTGGCGCAGTATGTTATCTGTTGGACTCAACATGCTTCAAAGGCTAATTTCTTGAAGCCTCCCAAAGGCTATGTCTATGTTAACTTTTCGGAGCCCTCGCAAGGGAACTCTCTTCTACATGAGGATGATCTTGAACTTATTGATCGAGCATTAGGCACTGGCGAAATTGTCAAACGAGATCTGGATGACACTCTTAGCGGCACAGTTATCGGTGCCGCCGTGACGTGTACGCTTGAGCCCATTGCATATCGAAAGACAGACCCCATGACAGGAGAAGAGGGACCACTGCAGTTTGCCGAAAAAGCCGTCAAACGTGGCAATTCTCCAGGACCCGTAGAAGAGGAATCGACACCCCCTCTGCTCCATAATGTCCCACTGTCAGAGCTTCAGAATTACGAGGAGTTCACCGAGGGTGACTACATAGTTTATGAACGAAAGTTGGGGGTTGTGCGTGAGGTTGAGCGTGATGCAGTCGTCCTTCTTCAAAACCAGAAAGTTGTGTCGCCTCTGGATCCCTTTGCTTTGGAAATTCCTATGACTGTTGGTACCGACAACGTTGTATCGTGGCCAAGCAACCAGGATGCCATGAGGTCATATCCTCTGCCCAACGGCGACTACCTTTGGACCGTGGAATCCGAGTTTGTCTTTCCTGGACAATTTACGCTGACGTCCTCGAAGAACTTGAGTCGAGGAGACTGGTCTCTAGAAATGGGCTCAAAATCACAACCAGAAGGTCATGTCCTGGCGACTCCTGCCATGAATATTCACGTGGAGTGGCTCTGCCCCAATGTCTATGGTGCAGGACCGCCATATGGTGGGAATAACAGTGAGGTTATCCGAGCAACAATGCTACAAGGGACAGCCATGAAGTGCGACTTTGGCAAGCTGCCCACCGAGGGTTTCAATGAAAGGACAGTCAGATCAGACACATGGGTTGAGGCGGACCCCGGAGATAGGGTTCGCTTTCGCAACCCAGCTGATGCAACGAAGTACAATTACAAGCAGATACCGACCGACCAGTCCTTTGGTTATGACATAAATCTCTTTCGCGTGTTATCCACCCGAACTGAGGTGACGGTTCAGTGGCAGGATTTGAGCGTCACGACCGAGGCCGCTACCGCTTTGCACAAGTTCAATGGTGGTGGCGATGACGAGGTCTGGCCTGGAAACCTTGTTGTCTTGAGCGAAAGTCTCGAAACTATTCGCACGCCTTGTTGCCGCCATGAATCCCACCGTGCTCGAAAGGTTGGCATAGTACAAGCTGTAGACAGCGGAGAAAGAGTAGCATCCGTTCGCTGGTACAAAGATCCAGATATCGAACTGCTCCATAAGGGGAACATGCTGAAACCGGGTTCCAGATTGGGTGAACTGGGTGATGCCGTTACTCAAGTTTCCGTCTATGAGCTAAGCTTGTATCCTGGTCTAGGAAAAGCATTGGATGACCTAGTGCTGCTGGTTCCAGAAAAGGTCCATCGGTCGGTCTTTCCACCAACAGCTCGCGATCCGCCCGCGGTCACTGGGCCTTCCCTGTACAGCTTTCTCTTTCCGATGAACTTCTTCGAGATGTCCATGTATCTTGAATCTATGAAGCTGGCACTCTTCAAGTCGGAAGAGTTCAAAAATGGAATCACGATCGATTCGTCCCCTCTACCTTCCCGTTATGTTGTTCATCATGATGAGTACAACGGACAGTCTCCTTGTGACTTCCTTGGTAGGGTCGTCTCAGTGGACATCGAGGGCAACATTACTGTTCGACAGGTCGGTCGCAGCAGTTGTCGTGATATTTGCGTTCCTTTGGAGAGAATACTCATGGTGATTGATGATGATTACGACGTGCCCCCTTTGCCCCTTCCACCGCTTGACATGTTTGACTTACCTGGCTTGCCCCCCTGGACGTCAAATCCCTTCATGTTCGATCGAACATATGAATATGAAGGTGGTGAGCGACTTGATGAAGACAGCAACGATGAAGAGTGGTTGACAGAAGATGACTTCGAGGCGGATAATGATTCCGACAATGAGGATGGCTTTGACGACTCGCGCCATGTGATCGCCGTGGAGGATTCTGCGGCACCGAAAATAGCTGAGATCAATATCACTGCTGAAATCGTTGAGGACCAGGAAGAAAACTTGGAGACATCCAAAGCGGATGATCATTCCAATGCATCTATCGCACAGTCATGTCCTTCACCATCCACTTGCCCTCCAGGCTTTTCGGTTCTAGAAAGTGATCCTCCCTCTGACCACCATTTCATATCAACATCCTCGCGCGGAAAATCGGGGTTACGGATGAGTCGTATACGGAAGGAATATGAGATTCTCCAGACATCGCTGCCTCCTGGTATCTTTGTTCGGACTTGGGAATCTAGGATAGATCTCCTACGTGTTTTGATCATTGGTCCTCATGGAACGCCATACGAGTATGCTCCGTTTGTGATTGACTTCCAATTCCCTGAAGATTACCCCAACAAACCTCCCGCTTCCTTCTTCCACTCCTGGACGAATGGGCAGGGAAGGGTCAATCCGAACCTGTATGAAGACGGTCGAATCTGTCTTAGCATCTTAGGTACTTGGCCAACAAAGAACCCGGAGGAAAGCTGGTCGCCCATTAAGTCCACTGCCTTGCAGATCCTGGTCTCCATCATGGGCCTTGTGCTGGTCAAGAACCCATTCTACAGTAAGTATCTCCTCGGAATTCTAGAAGCTCAGAATCACTCAAATATCTCACAGACGAGGCCGGCTATGATGTCCTTGCTGTGGACGACAACCGTCGCGTCGAGTCCTCACAATACACAGAAAAGGCATTCTTGACGACACGAATCTTTATCAAGCATGCGCTTCAGCATCCAGTCGCTGGCTTAGAAGACGTTTTGACTTGGAACTATTTGAAATTTGGGCAGGGAGACGATGCATCTAGTCGCCCACATTTACTACGCCAGGCTATTGACTCGGCCGTCGGAATGATTGAGCATCACAATAACACCTCTGCTACCGACAAGCTTGGCGAGGAGA